CAATTCTATGTCAACCAAAAGACTCAACAGCGAAAGAAGATAAAACGAACATCATCTACAAAATAAATTGCAACAACTGCGAAAAACACTACATTGGCCAAAGTGGACGTCCCCTTCGTCTTGGTATCCACGGACATAAGCTAGCCGTCAAAAGACAAGATATCCACTCCCTCATATCACTACACACAGACAACCACGGACATCAATTCGACTAGGACAACGTTCAAATATCAGACAGACGAAACAACAAGAATGCTAGAGAATTTTTAGAAGCTTGGCATTCCAGTGAATCATCAATCAATAGACACATCGAGATAGACAAAATTTATCAACCAATAAGAAAGAAACTTCACAGACAAAGGGTCAAAATTCAAGTCAAAGAAACAACCGGTTCCAATACAAGTAACCTAGAAGGTGTGAAAACACACACAAACAACCAATCACGTCCAAGGTCACCAGGAGAGATGATTAATAAACTCGTGGAGAAATCTAAAAGCTCACTTCAAATTGAAGTATGCGCTGAAGATGTCACCCAGTAGGGTGATGAAAGCTTCGCAAATTAACCATCCAGCTCAGAGAACACAACCAAATCAAAAGTATACAACAACCCCCTCCCCTCCCCCCGCATGAAATGACAAAATAAACATGAATGTGATAAGCCATTTCATCATGTAAATACACACTGCCTTTATAATTTTATACACTGGTTTTGTAAACTTTGTTTTCATACCAAGGTGGATGTACTATTACCTTTGTTATTTGGTTTAGTGATCTTCATTGTTATTTTGACTTTAATATGTTCTTTTAACCTGACCGAAGTCTATTTTCTCACCTCTTAACTCTATGTTATCTTTACCAATTGGCCAACTTGACAATGCAAAAATCACCTCATGCTGATGAACAATGATTAAGTTGTTATGAATATATGCTGAGTGGATTTTGTAAATTCTGGTTTAATAATACTTTCATAAAGCTATTAGCTGCATTAAATAGCGAAACGTCAGGAAAAATAACAACCGTTTCGATAGCCAAAGCTTCAGCAATACATATGAGTCGGGTACGTAAGGATTTGGGTAAATTACTCTTTGCCTTGTAGATGACTTTAAAGGCGGAGGCTATAGAGTGATCATTATCGACCTGCTGTATCTCTGAGAATAGCCTTTACTAGTCGACCATTACTGTTCGATAACCTGAAAGACAAGATCCCACTGCTGATCAACTCTATACGCGCTTATCAATTCACCTGCTCATGTAGAGCTAGGTATATCGGTCGTTCGACTCGAGTTTTGTCCAAGAGGGTGCAAGAACACTGTCCTGCATGGTTACGAAGAGGTGGAAGTGGAGCAATAAGAAGCGCGATCATCGAACATCTGATCGATAATGATCACCCTATCTCTATAGCCTCCGCCTTTAAAGTCATCTACAAGATAAAGAGTAATTTACCCAAATCCCTACGTACTCAACTCATCTGTATGGCTAAAGCTTCGGCTATCGAAGCAGAAAAGCCAGATCTCTGTGTACAGAAAAAGTTCGTTCAACCCCTCCAATTTTCAATTTCTTAATCCCTCTATGCTAAAGTATGGTAATCCCCAATCATATTTTAGCTCTACCAGTTTTTCATTTTGTCTATTCAATTTGTAGTCTCTTCCTTTATTACGTCAATTGTCACTACTATTACTACTCTTACTTTGAACTGTTCCCGGTATTATTTCACTTGTTCCACTTGTCATTCTAAACCAATTCTTTTTTACAACGATAAATTCTATACTATTAAATTTCACACAATATTACATAACGTTTTTATTTTATTCGATTTGTCTACTAATTTTATAATTGCACACCTTTTTTTAAGTTCTATCCATCCTATGAATTATTCTATATATAACATTAATTGCTTTGCCACTTGACATTTAACTATGATTATAATCACAAACATTTTAGTTTTAATTGCATTTAATACTTCTATTACTATTATTATTATATGCATTCACACCTATGATTCAATTCCCTCACCGGATATAAATCCTTATATATATGCGATTGTACAGCCTGATAATAAATTCGTTGAAAAGAGTCTCTTCGCTGAAACACTTGTTTTGATTTTCTATATGTTACCATGGGAATTTTCCATGAGTTAAAAAACAACATCGTTTTGTTTTTCATTCATTCATTCATTGGGAAATACAAAATGATTCGTAAGTTCAGGGATTATTTTCGACATTATTAGATGTTTTCGTTTACAATAAAGACAGTTTTATGAAATTACACTTTCACGTTAACTGAAGATACCCGTTAGACGACAGTCAACCAAAAAAAGGAGAGAGATGTGCTCCACAAGCTTAAGCACTCGATTGATACTCAGTTAAACTGGTTCCAGATCTCCGATCCTGCTATTATAAACTTCACACCTTTGGCACCTGGGTAACATCATCTGCCGTACTCACACAACTTTTATTTAAATGAATCAATAGCTGTTGTCCCGATAGACAGTTCCACTGGTTCCTAATTCGATGCGAGTAACGAACTTCTGAGTGTGAGACAATTCCACTGTGTTTCTCAAACTTCACTGCGATATTCTCGAAAGTCATCAGTTCCACAGGCAAAGAATAGACAGGATAAATTAACATATAAATCTATGTGTAAAAAACACCAAATGTTGAAAGGAGATCACTCTCAACTGTCACTAGAAAAGAGTTGAAATAGTTGTAGCAACCCCACCACCACCCCCAACCCGTCCATATACAAGAAGTTCGAAAAACTCTTAATCAGTTTTGTCGCCACTCCTTGAACCCATTTTTAATCTGTCTACTTCCCATTGCCTAAATTCCAATATTCCTCCAAATAAGGTCGGATATATAATATACGTAATATAACCACATGAAAACTTACCCGAAAGCCTCGTAGAGATCTTATTATACTCTAAAGCCCTTTGCAGACACTGCTATTCTACTATGGTCATCTCAGATTACCTAGTCATGGTTTACAAACCCACTCCTGAATCCTTAAACCCGGTTAGTCGTCAGCACTTTCATTTTACGCATGTTGTTAAGAGTGGGATGCATCTCTTAATGACGCATGATCATATCGCAGTTTTCTTGGGGAAATTTCACCACATGCTCTCTAACTTCCCCCACCGAAACCTCAACCCCTATAGTACATCATGAGTACACAATGTTTATCAAACAATGATCTGCCTGTCTGTTTTCGACATAGAACTTTGCACCAATGTGCAGCACTTCAAGTCGCCATACTCCACTCCTTGTTGTAGCACACAAACCAAGAGAAGAAATGCATAATAGAGACAGTAAACAGAGGTGTGAGACAAAGGAATAGTAATAACGACGAACAATATAGTTTCATGTGAAATCATAAGTCACAAAGAGTGGATGCATCTCCACCAGACATTGAGAACGATTTTTGAGCCATATCACCAATCGTTTCCAACCATTGGTTTTCACCATCCCGAGGACCCCAACCAGTCAGGAAGTCCAAACCTTCCCACGTGGCTAGCTGGCTTAAACTAACTGTTGTGGATTTCATTGACTGGTGAAGCCATGTTTTGGTTTAACTGCCGCTAGCTCTTTTCCAGTCTGATCCTATGTCATCTAACATTGCCTGTCTGTTGAGGAAGGCGATGACTAGGCTAGGCCTACGTAACGCATGTCTCAACCATCTCAGTCTATGTAGCTTCACAACCTCGTCGATTGATTTCCCCTTCTTACCTAGCACTCGACCGAAGCCTTACCTCAATATTACTCACCCTATTATACCCACCACTTCACACGGTAGATAGAGCACAAGCACCTATGATCAAAGACAGCTAATCTTCTCATATCTTCCACTCTCAATGGCCAGGTCTCGCTCACAGCCATAAAGGAGGACGGAGCGAACTCCTGAGCAGTACACCCGCCCCTTTTTCGATAGCCAGTCGGATATCACGTCTACTAAGCCAGAGACCGCATAATCCAACAATGAACGGAGAATAAAAAGACATTAGTGAAAAAATTAAAAATTTTTATGTATATATATACACACACGCACAAACTTACACACACACACACAATTAGTCGATCTATCAAATTGCAAAAAAATATAGTAATAATAATAATAACTGCGGGGTGGGGGCAACGGGCAGGATAAAAGTACATTTGTTGAATGATGCTAGAAAAGAAAAATCAAAGTGGATTACACACACACTTATACACATGCATATACTAATTATCAGAGAAATAACCAATTGCGTAATACATACAATACACACACACACACACACAACTGGACTGATTATTTATAACAGAAACAAAAAGAAGGATTTAATTTGGCGGGGGAAAATGCTATTTAAAGTATACACATATATATGTTCAATGTCCAATATAATATAGTAGACAAAAGCATCCATTATTAGACAATAAGTAAACATACACGATAGGCAAATAAAGACGAAAAATCTATGATTGACGACAAGAAAGTTCACATGTACTCTGACTGAAAGATAATATAACTAGTATAATATGACTTAGCAATGCTTAATTAAAAGAATTTGTTTTAATTTCCACTTTTAATTGTATTGTAAATAATTATAATAGATAATATACATAAATGACAATCGACTGCAAAAAATATTTGGTGGAACTGAATGTTATTGGGAACAGTGTTGTAATGAAACAGTGATACAGCGGGCAGGAGGAGCGAAGGCAGGATGGGAGTGAAACAGGACGAGTTTCGAGGTTGAAAAATGATACTACAAACAAATAATCACTATTATAGGTAGACAGTTGAATTGATGAATCAGTGTGTAATGACATTTAGTGATCATGATCTCTTGATCTCATGATCTTGATAATAATAATTACGTCGATAATGATGATAACACTCTAGTCTTTGAAAAAAATAATAATAACATGATGAAGTTGTGAACAGACGAGAAAATGCTTCACAGTCAACCAGTCAGTCAGTCTGTGAGTGAGTGAGTCGAGTCAACCAGTCAGCCAGTAGGTCATTCAATAACCTCCAACACTACGATCATGATTAGACAGTAATAATTTCTGATGCTTATCACTACCGTCACCATTATCAATCCCAATGCCAGTCGCAGTCCCAGTGACAGAACCATCTTCATCAACTTTTCCTCCTCTTCCTATTGACTTTATAAAATATGACTTGAAAAAATAAGCTATCAAGATAATAAAGGCAATTAGATGAGGTATAAAGTAGAACAGGCTTAAAAATTTTATAGATGCATAAAAATCTAACAAATGAAATGGTGCTTGTCCATAATTAATTATAAAATTAGTAATAATCATTGTAAAAATATCATAGGCATGTATGCATAGAGGTGTTTTACGAAAATACACACGACAATGTCGACGCCAAATACGTGAAACTGTTGTGAACAGAGCGAATGATAAAAACATGATATAATAACCAGGATAGAAACCGTGCCAAAAAGCACTGATTATAAATACAAGTATTGTACGATAGGCAGTTGGAAGACGATCATAGAATGTTTCACGTAGCCAACGTGTTGTAGATATATTCCATGCATCGACAACATCTTTCAAACCGATACCAGACTCGACTTGAATAAAGTTAAAATTACGCACATGATGATTCAATGTCCTACCGGTTCGTGGACATTGACCAGTATATCCAACACCAATAGCTACTCCATTGACTTCAGCTAATCCCCAGGCAAAATAGTATTTTTGTCGAATTAGAAATAAGGAAACTGTCACGTAGAAAATTCGATGGAGGAGTGAATAGCTCTAAATAACAGAGAAAAACATAAGCAACAACATAAACGGGTAGATGAAATGTAGACAGCTAGAAAATTATTCTGGAAAATCCCGGCTGACAACCACCGCTACCTTGTCGTGGTGGTCGGGCTTGAATACCACAGTGACCCAACAAGCTAAATTGGCTGGGACTCACTCGTCTGCAGGTCCTACCATGTCAGGAAGGTTGTTTGGATAGCGGTTAGACTAAAAGCAGTTACCATGGGTACATGGGCTCCAGTATCCAATCGAATCAAATGGCGTATGAACACGCAAGGGTAACCGGAAACCACGAGAATGCAGTTCCTGACGCTGCTCCGCTACCTTGCGGATTAGACTCCAAGTCAAAGGCTCGGCAGGTGGTCCCTTAAGAAAACCACCTGCTTCGGTCTGGGCACCCTGGCAGTATCTCAGCCCTCATACAACAAATGAAATTTTGTGTGGCGCATCTTTCTTGGTGCCATATTATACCAAGTTTTATTCTGCGTTTAAATAAATAAATTCTGGAAAATTAGTCCTATGCTCACTAGTAACCAAGTGCAAGATAGAGTTGTCCCGACATTGGTAGTATAGAAGCCATGACGAGAGGGACAAATACCCACATCGTTGGAGATCAGCTGATAGTAGTGTTACATACATCGCGAACAGGCAAAATTTAGAATTCATAGACATCCTAGAGGCTGACTACTGGTCAGTGGCCCCGCTCGCCTTCTAGCTTCCAGTTTAAGTGGAAACATTATCACTCACTGGGATATTCAGATACATCCGGTCGATGAGTCCCAGGTGGGACGAAATGTTCCACTGCTGCTAGTCACTATTTACTAAAACTACTTCTAGGAGGGAATGTCAAATCTGTTGCACCCAAAGTTTTTTAACAATGACCTACACATCATCAGAATTGTGCTTATTCCTTAGTGAAATATGTGAACAGAACGGATCACTTCGTCATAGGCCAGTCCCTGGGACAGATTTTTCATGTACCTACCAAGCTAATAAGCTACACTTACTGTGTGATTGCTGTTTACACTATCTAAAACTGCTCATGGCTGAAGTAGGAGTGGAGTGGGATTCGACCTCGAGACACATTTGAACTGAAAGTCGAATGTTTCACAACTAATGAATCGAATCTATCTCTGTTGAGTGAATCATAATAAAAACTATGCAAAACAAAAGACAACCACAGCTTAGACTATATGTGTAAAACTTGGGCACTGCAATGGTAGTAAGTAATTCCATATTAGTTTGTTTATTAGATGTAACACAGTGATGAAACAGTATTATTTCGAACACAATTTACTGTTCATAATCATATCAATTTTGATCACACGACTTTGAAACTTGAATTTTATAGTTTTCTTTGTCTTCTCCTATTTGTCGTAATGGTAGTAGAATTTTCCAGATATCCGAGAGAGGTGTTGAGTCATTTCTATTACATGTATTTGCAGTTGATTCGATAAACAAAGCTTCTGTTATCAATTCTCCCTCCATCCTGCTGGTACATTAGATTTTAAAACTGTCATCCTATCCCATCCTACTGTATGGTTGTGTGTAACTGCATGTGGTGAGTGGAATAGCTGAACTATCCTCTAGATTTCTTAACTTATTCAGGTCAACTAATCTAGATTTTGTGGCTAGGTTTTCATGTTCAGCTAGTCTGCCTGCCCCTGTTCTACTAGAGTGATCTGACAATCATTTCAGGCAGGGTATTAGATAAACTAAATTGTTTTGTTTTAAAGGCTCCACAGGATCCCTCAACCGACAAAGTTTGTTTTTAATTGAGTTTGTGGGTTTGAATGCCGCTTGAATGCCACTTTTATGCCTACCTGCCTTGTTAAGAATTCTGCGTAAGGTTTCCGAGATATCTGGAAAATTCTACTACCCCTACGACAAATAGGAGAAGACAAAGAAAACTATGAAACTGTAAAAGTTTCAAAGTCGTTTGATTACAGTTGATATGATTATGAACCACAATAAATTTTGTTCGAAACGTCACCCAGTAAATAATACAGTTTCACTGTGTGATATATCTAATAAATAAAATAATATGGAACAGCCTAGACCTTTTCAGACTCTACTAACCGTCTTAAAAAACACTTCACAACCTGGAAAATAAATTTTTTAAAAAAAGCAAAACGAAAGTCAACTAGAACTTACTCCAAATGCTTCAGTTAAAACAAAATCGAAAGGAAAGTATGGGCATAGATAAGCAGCTGACAAGCCTGAAGCTAATGTACGCAGGCATAAAGTCACTAGATAATACATATTAATTGAAGGCAATCGTCCAGTACTATACCCTTTAAGATATTCCATATATTCAGAGAAAAAGATGAAAGGTCCAACACAGACACCATGAAAATATAACATATAGGCAAAAAATATTACTGGATCAGGTGTTTTGTCAACTGCATGGATTTTATGACTTGTAGGCATTTGTTGTTGCTGTCCTGATGATGATGCTGTTAATGACGACGAGTGTTGACTATCCTTAAATGGCTTCTGTTCATTCAATAGTTTGCAATGACTGGGTGTATGATAATGATGATGATGAATAGGCTTTAAATCGATATTCGATGATGAAGGCATATCTAGTGTATCTAATGTAGTGAAGGTATTTCGTCTACGATTAGACAATGATGATGATGATGAATGTGATTGAGACTGATCAATAATTGGTGATTTTGGTGGTGGTGATGATGATGATGAAGAATCATTAGAAGAATTATTTTGTTGATGTTTTACAGGATGAGTAGTAGTAGTAGTAGTGGTATGCTTTTCATGTGATGATATTATTGCACCATCGACAAGATTAAAGGCTAGACTAGATAGACGTTGAGTTTGTACCATAACAGGTCCAGATATATCTAGTGTATAACCACCATAATCATACTGTAAACGACAGATATGAACTAGTGTCATATAGAATAATGACCAGACTGTAACTAATATAGCCATAAATTGATTATGCGGTAAGCATACCATAAATACATAGGCAATAAATGATTGTAATAATAATACTCTTAATTGACTTCCAAAACAGAATGATAATAATAACAGGCCAAATATAGTTTCAATAAGTGCACGTAATCGTGGTGAACACTTTTGCGGGGATAGATACTGTCGCATTAACTGGCCAAGTGCAAAACTCACTACACCACTAACAACATAATTGATTTGATCCAGTGGGACATGCATAAATTCAGCTAGTGGTGAAAATGTTTGTGATGTTTTGTAGAAACCACCACGAATTGGTTTACCACCGTCTAATGGTGTATCCAAACCCATGAAAACTTCAACAAAATATGCCCAGGTGAAGAATTTCATTATTGTGTTGATTTGAAGTGAAGTGTATTATGGATTTTGATCAAGCATAATAACAATAATAGTAGTTATAATAACAATCAACCATTGAAAGCTAAAAAAAAATCAGAAATTATTTTATACACATATATGTGTGAGAAAGTAAAAAGAATGATTTAAAAATCAGAAAAGAATAAGCAATCATAAGACAAACAGAACAAAACAAACAAACAACCTAATTCATAACAATACCACATGGTAACCAACAGATACTTTGTAATTCTTGCCATCCTGAGTAGAATATAGGACTCTAAGCTTTGGAGTTTAACTAGCGGTGATGTTGTTTGCCTCAAGATGAACCTTTCCTCTTCTCTAGGCAACATTTAGGAGTAAATCAATTGGGTAATTCAACTTGGACACCTTCCGTGTGGCTGGCTAGAGAGCATTGTACAGATACACATGTATCCAGTAGATCTAAATATTAGGTAACTAAACTAATCATGAGTTGCAAAATGTTAGGCCTCTGAGAAATCCCCTAGACAATATGCCAATATAAATTGTTGTGTCATAAACTGGGTTACTTAAAGTGCACTACACCCCACCTCCCCGCAGATGAACTTACAAAGAAAAGAAGATTGGAATATTAAGGAAGATTTCAGATTTATTGAGAGATTTTTATATTTTGTCTTCAAAATTCAATGGTTGTGAAGTATAAAAGCACCTTTTTATTCTTATTAACTATACTGTTCACATGCGCATGATTTGCATTGAAAAGTCAAATTACGTGACAATATGACAGAGTAGTGACTACATGTCAAGCATGTTTTCAGCTTAACACCAGCCGGTATCAATAGTACGTGAAAGATGTAACAGTCGCTCCTTGCCATGTGATCATTCAATGGACGTCAAAATTTAGACACGTACCTACCCCGTATGCAGCTATGATGTTTATTATTATTATTATTGCTCCCTTGGGTTCCTAGTGGAACATAGGGCTTAAGCTGCACGTCTCCACTTGCTTCTGTCTTTTGCTGTACTTTTCACCTGCATCCAGGTTAGTCCATACTCTTTCAACTCCTCCTCTTTACAAGATCTTCTCCATGTCACCCTTGCACTGACGTCCCACTTGCCTCTTCCCTTTCGGCCTGGTTCCACTCGAGGGCCTGACGCGCGATGTCACCAACCGGCCTCCTCAGCCACGAGTGTCCGATCCATCTCCACTTTCTCCTGCATATTTGTTGGTTGGCGATTGGTTCTTGTTTTGTTTGTTCCCAGCCATAGTTTCTTGTTGGTGATTCTTTCCGGCCCGGCCATCTGATCTTCAGTATACAGCCAGCGAAGACAGTTGTTGATAAGGGTCTGCAACAGGTTGTTGGAAATATTCTTTGTGACCCACCCGCCAAGTTTCTGATCCACTCCGTATAGAAGAACTGACTGACTTGACGTTTGTATTGAAAATTCGACCGAATTTTGTTGTTGATGCTGGCTGAGTGACGAAGATTTCCAGATTGATTTCAAGTTGATGAATGTGTTTCTCGCTTTCCCGATTCTCGATTTGACATCCTCGTCCGCTCCTCCTGTAGTTGAGACAATGCTCCCTAGATAAGTGAAGTGAATGAAGTAACCTCTTTCAAATCCCTCCCGTTGATGGTGATTGACGCTGGGTGTTCCTGCTGTTGTTGTTGGTTGGTTGGTTATTTTCATAATCTCCGTCTTGTCTATGTTCACATGGAGTCCTGTCTTCACCGGCTGCTTCTTCCACCAGTTTGTCGGTTTTCGCTTGTAAGTCTTCGATTTTGTGATAGTGAAATCAAACATAAATCATCCACGCGCGAAATCCAGGTCTTCTAGGTTCTTCACGTCGGTCTAGGACATCCCTCCCTGTCTTCTCGTTTCCCACTCACTGTCTGACGCATAATCCAGTCCACCACAATTAGGAATATCATTGGTGATAGTAAGCACCCTTGTCTGACTCCTGTGTTTACTCCAAATGCCTTGCTGAGTTTTCCGTTGTGGATCACTTGACATGTGCCGTTGTCGTACAGCTGTTGAATAAGGCTGATGAATACTTGGAGTACGCCGTATTACTCTAGTAGTTTTCAAATTACTTCACGGTCGACGCTGTCGAAGGCCTTCTTGAAGTCTATAAAGTTGAGGTAGAGGTTTAATTGCCATTCCATGCTTTGTTCCGTAATGATGATGCGTAGAGTTGCAATTTGGTCAGAACATGATTTGCCTTTCCTGAATCCAGCTTGTTCTGGTCGAAGTTCTGCATCCAGTGCGTCTTTTATTCTCTCCAGGATGTTTAGGGCTATTTAAACGTTAGATGTCACAATTTAATTTTACAGAATAACAGAAGCTTGAAACGTCAATTTCAATGCGAAATCTTATGAAAGAGTGTTGAAACCACTGCCAGAAGGCTAAAATTTTATTTTGATAAAGTCACACACCGTGGTGTTATACAGTAGTAATATTTACTGGTGATGACCATGTTTCGAGCACAATTTATTGCTGCTCATAATCATATCAAGGTACTACTGACATAGCTCTCTTGCTTTGTTTACGTACATGAGTACAAATTGATTAGACATGAATAAAATCAGTACAAGACTTGCGTGAAACAGAAAGGAAGATAAAGTACACTCGGAATTAATATTAGTGTTATCAATAAAATACAATAGGATAGGAAATAAGTTGCCTATTGATGAAATTAGTTTAGGAATTCAGTCATGTCTCACATTTACTGTTTTTAAATTCCATGGCAAAATATATAGACAAACAGAAAGTGTAACAGTCGTATCATCAATATCCCTTAGCGTAGCAGATATCTTTATGGACAGCTGGGAAAACATTACTCATAATATATTTAATCCTACTCTACGAAGATAAATAATCTAGAAAAAAGCTCAGCAATCGAACTGCATGTATTAACACACAATGGGATCAGAGAGGATTGAAATTCTAAAAAGTAATATAGGTAGATGGAGAGAGAAATAGGGGGGGGGGGGTGATTACTGAATCTTTGTTCATAGAATCTGTACCCAACGCGTGCAACAGAAGTGATTCCATGCAAATACCAGAGATATGGAAGATATTGTTTCCAGTCGAATCGAACGATAATAAATACTGCTAAAATGTGATTCAATTCACATTATAACATTCTGACAAGTCATTTATTTTACTATAAAAACACCTTGTTTCCCATCCTATTATATTTTATTGATAACACTTATATTGGTTCCGAATGTACTTTATCTTATATTGATATTAATCACATGTCTAATTAATTTGTACCCATTTACGTAAACAAAGCAAGAGAGCTATGTCAGTAGTACCTTGATATGACTATGAGTAGCAATAAATTGTGCTCGAAACATGGTCATCACCAGTAAATATTACTACTGTATAACACCACGGTGTGTGGGACTTTATCAAAATAAAATTGTATCCACAACGGAATTATCCTTATGCCATTAGAAAGCTCTTTATTATCTTTTCTATGTGAGATACAATATTGAGCATCTGCATAACAATGAGGTGTCAACTTATTACTATTATTATCCATTCCTTGAGTCCCAATTGATGGTGTGCACATTCCATTCCACTGTCCGCTTTCAACTTGCTTCACATCTACCCAAAGGCATTCCAATTAGACTTCATGTGGTTTTCTCTATGTCATCCTCGAAAACCCAACACTCATCATCGCTTCCCATTTAGTTTTCAATCAAGGGTTTGAAACATGCGGTATTTCGTAGGAAGGATAGCTTAAATCTAAACATCTTATATTTCCTTAATTATCTATCTGGTCAAAAACGTTTTCCTTTCAAGAGACAACCTTTGGTTTCAGAAAAGGACTATGGTAAAATAAGGGGTTTTTTCTTGGGCTTTTATAAACAAGCATTTATTTAACATCTAGAATTAATTACAAGGATACTGAGGGCTTGCTGTGAACTACTTTACACTACAGCTCTCTAGTCCAGAATATGATCAAAACTCCCGGGAATATACTTCTACCTTTTAGTGACCCTAACGATGTTAATCTTTCGACTAATACAAAAAAGCAGCCCGTTCAAATGAATGATCAAATTAACTCCTTAGGAAAAGTAGTATTATTTGAAAGTAACAAACCTTAATTACAGACGATGTGCGTCAGTGCCATAGCGGTTAATACGCTCGCCGACTATGCACATGGTCCGGGATTCGATCCCCGGCCACCGACGCACTCCTTTACCTCGCTAAGCCAGAAATAATGATGGTAAGGAGGAAAGGTTGGGCACGAGGCTAGCAACCCCATCCTGTAAAATAAACACTACTACAGAAACTTCAGCCACCTTACACTAGGTGGAGAAATGTATGAACTTTTGACTCAATAATGGTTGAGAGTTGAACGCCTAGACCAATGAGTCAATAGCTTCAAATCAGAGAATTTGATTGACTCGATGGGGAGGGGGTGGCGGAGGTTTTCGTGATGTTGAGAATATACTTTGCCTACGATTAACGAAAACAGGCTTCGTTTAAGCGAACATGTAGTGGATAAGTTTTGCAACACTAATAAAGGTTGAACTGCACTAATTATCAGTGCACAACTAACTCCAACTTATAGCTTGCAATGTCCAGATTCTACAAGGAATCAGACAATTGATCTAGTTGGCGAAAATTCTGAAATTTCGAGTAACTGATTCATGCTTTATCACTGAAATGTGTGTACGAGACGAAAGTGTGGTTATTTGTTTGACATCACCTAGTTATAGTATGATAAGTGTTTGCGAGATGAATATAAACGAATAGAATTAACAATGTAGAAGTTGGCACAAAATTGAATCAGTAGCCAGTATAAAGCACATTGAAGTGGCTACAGTATCCCTTGAGAAAAACGAAGCAATGCTAACTGTCTTTCACAACTTCTACAGACAGTTTCTAGTTGCTGTCAACAGCGATCTCGAAACATAATCAGTAGGGTGGTGTTACTTGATGAAAGAAAATAAAATGGGATAGGTGATGTCCATATCAGTAAATTTTATTAAACCGACGGAGGTCAAAAACGGTGGCAAAAGACATCTGCAAAACTGCAGAAGTTTTCTCTAAATTAAGAAACAACAGATCAGTAGGATCTGATATTTGGAATCGAAAAGTGCTTGGGAGTTATGGTGAGTAACTGTTGAGTGAACACAGTGTGGTAGTTCGAAATAGTCGTCAGACTAATGTACCTTGTTGATCATCCTATAAGTAAGGGAAAATATGGCTTTTTCACAAGGAGATAAACTTGAAAAATATATCTGACATCTTAGGGTGCCAAGCCATACGCAAAGTATGTTTTAGGGGTGCACAACACGGTAAATATCTAGATCACATATAAAGTGATAGGTAGGCAAATCAATGAGGTTGTGGATGATTATCTCTGTCTGTTTGTCTGGATTCAACATAGAACTTAGCACCGAAGTGCAGCAGTTCGAGTTGCCACGTTCCAAATAGCACACAGAAGTAGACAAGAAGATGAGTGAATAGAATCAATAGAGTTTGACAAGTATACGAGTGAAACAGAATGGGTAATGGTAGAAAGAAATGTGAAAGATTACAGAGACTGAATACATCTGCGCTAGCCATTGACAACGATTTTGAGTCATGTCACCTATTGTCTCCAGCCATTGATTCTTAGAGTCCCTAGGCCCCCAACCTGGAAGTCTACATCTCCCTACCTGACTCAGTCTAACTGTCAAGGATTTCATGGATTGATGAGGCCATGTTTTTGTTTGGCCACCACTTACTCTCTTCCAACCTGCACCTATATCACCTAGTAATGCCCGTCGGGGGAGGTAATGGTTAGGCATGCGCAGCACGTGACCTAGCCATCTCAATCTATGTAACTTTATAGCCCCGTCGATTGATTTTCCCTCTTTGCCCAACACTCCACGCCTAACATCAACATTACTTACCTTATTATACCACCACCTAACGTGAGGAGATCGCAGACATCTATGATCAAAAAGGATGATTATTGAGATGGTTATGACAAACGTTGCATATGATGAGTTACTGTCTTCTTTGACAGATAGTACTACTGCCTTAAAATAGGACAGGTTGGAAAAGTTACGGGGTAGTTAGATTGAAACACAGCACTAATTTATAAAGTTATTAACTACTAGTCTTAACCATGAAAGGTGTAGGTTTATTGACAGGGGATTTCGGAACATTTAGATTAATTGGTTTAAGAATGATGACGGTATGATCTGAAATCACTCGTAATATAGTGCTTGTATCTTCACTCGTTACCGTCTTCAAATGTCTAAGCATCTTCCCTTCTCTTTGCAAAGTTATGCTTTTTTTTGCTCACCTCAATCTGTGTCTCCTATAGTATCATAATGTTATCTTATTTTGTGTCTTTTCAAAGTATATTAGCTTGCAAAAAATGAAATTTTATGTTAAGTTATGTAGCGATTCGTCCATCTGTCAATGCGTTTCATGATCAGTATGAAGAACCATATGACAACCCTGATTATCAAACCTAGATCCTAGAGAATCTCATTCTGTACACAAACATATATATATCATGCGAATACAACCAGGCAAGATGCAAATTATCAGACGGACAACCAACATTTAACAAAGAAATGAAAACAACATGTTATAATTTATACATTTATGTAATCATCCTGACTTTGTACAGTAACGAGTGAATTTCAGATAGCATATAATAATGTACATATTATCATGAGAAGATACCAACACCACCAACTAATTTGGTACAAAGGAAGAATTTTTAAAAATTGTGTATAGACATTTCAATTCCTAACTAGATGAAAAAATAAAATGTTTATCTTAAGACAAAATGTTACAGAACTAAGTGCCCAGAAAGATTAGAGGTACTTGAATTGTCTGAAGACAAATTTTGAAACTGGGAGTCATTAAAGTATAAAGCTTTTACAGATGCTATTTGTTCAACCCAATCGTTAGCATGACCAGAAGGATCTTCCAAGTAATATGTTCTGTTTGGAACATGAATAAAAAACAGTTTAGAACTTCTTAGTTCTAGAGTCAGTGAACTGGACCAGGCAACTTCTCCTTTTAATGTCATACTTTCAACATCAACGTAAAAAAGATGTGGTCCCTCGGTTAATAAAAACATTCGTTTTCTCGCAAACAGACCACGACGTTTGAACAAAATACCTTGTTTTAAGATTAAACGACCACGAACAAAACGATTGAAAGGATTCTGCTTTTCTTGTGCATTTAGTAAACGCGTACGATCATCTTCAGTTATTTGAGAAGCAGTCAAATCAAACTCACGTGACAGGTGGTATTTTTCACCCTCTCCAAACCCGACTGGCAAATTATCCCAGCCTTCAGGAGCTATAGGTTCTAAGTTCGGCACTAGCAAAGGAGGCTCTTGTTGTGGCAGAGTATCCCAATGGATTTGAGAGAAAAATTTATGCTGTTGGATGGCAGTTGAACCACCTTGGGAAGGACTACCAAGACGCTCACTAGGACTGATCACAAGTAACTTCCCCACCAAATCTTTAGCAACAGGGTCGAAATTATCAGCAAATGTATAAGATAAACCTAGAATTTTCTGGAACGTCTCATACCCATGAGTAGGACCACTCTTTCGAAATGGAGGCAGGCCAGAAATTAATTGATAAATAATACATCCGAATGCCCAATAATCCATTAGATATGTAAGATCATGAGTCGGTTTGCTGCTTGAAGAAATATCGCTTTGCCTAGATATACGAGAAAGCATCTCTGGACTAACATATTCTGGAGTGCCCGTAAAACTAGGTGCTTTGATGTGCGGTGAGTTTAGTATAATGGCAGAACCGAAATCAGCCAACTTGATGTGCATTTTGTCTGTTAATAAAACGTTTTCTGGTTTTAAATCACGATGTACTATGGACAATGAATGTAAATAATCCAAGGCTGTAAAAATTTCTGCTGCATAGAATCGAGTACAATCAACACTTAAAGAAGTAAAACGATTAAGATAGGATAAAAGTTCCCCACATCTTGCATATTCAAGAAGATAAAATAACCTGGTAGAGTCTTGGAATGTACAATGCAAACGAATAATGAAAGTATGATTTGTGCGTTTAAGCACTTCTTTCTCCATAAGTACAGAATCCACAGCCTTGTAGCGTCGAACACGTTGTTTATCAACCACTTTCATAGCGAATTCCAAACTTGTTAAGATCTCTTGAACAACATATACTGTTGAAAAAGACCCTTGCCCGATCTCCTTACCAAATTTAAAGTCAGATGGTTTGGGGACAGATCGAGTAGCCCCATCAAGACTGTCACCTGACATTACCCTACAAAAATCAAATAACCTATAATACACACGAAATGAGGAGTCAGAAAAGAAAATTTGACACTTTAAAATCATACAACAGTACTCGCCTTTACTTCCAATCACAGATAAATTTGTTGTAAACTACGCGGATAATCTTTTCCCAACTACAGTAGACGGTCATTACTTAAAAGCCAACTTCAGCATTAGTATCGGTATCAAATGAAAAACAGTAGAGATTGTCAAAAAAGCGCCGACAACAGGATATAGATGAGATAATAGAAAATTCCGCAGATATCAGCAGAAGTGGGACTGAAGACAGATGAGTAGGATACTTAAGAATGGTAAAACACAGATACATCTACGACATTCTGGTTAGCACCGGATCATTTCACCAGTGACTCCTAACATTTTAACCGTCACATCCACAAAATTTTACTTCTTTCAATGTTCAAGATTCAGAGTCAGCGACTGCTAGAGACCTTCGAATTATTTATAAACAAGTTGTACGGGAATTAGCCTCTTGTGTTGGAATAGACAATGAAGTTTAATGTGCATAACACGTCGACCTTATCTGATGAAAATCTGAACACTAACAATACATCCGATACTTACTTATTACAACAAAAATACACTCTATACTATTTGCTTGATGGCTTTATCGCATGTGAAGTACACAGTAAAGACATAATTTGTGTCTTGCCGAGATTCCATACATGTATTCACCGCTGAGATGCAGAATACAGAGGTCTTCAATGAAAGATGTCGCCTTAACAAACATGGCGTGATATGAGTAAATTTCACACAACTTTACACTTCAGGGATTTGTTGCTGCAACAGCCGCTTACAGATGTTTCCAAACAGTCGCAAATGCAACACCATATCTTCTTACACGGAACTAAATGCACGATTAATACAAGCTATTTCGCCAACAGTCATTACCTTTAACAGGTAAGACAAGAACTTTATTCCCTGAAAAAACATGACAGTAGTCTAAAGAGTTAGTTTTCAATATGTTTAATTGCAAACTGGTCAACTCTTACTTAGCAGACAACCAATTTAACAGACACCATTGAATCTGTTCAAAAACAAGACTATACTAACACACTAAACCCTCCCAAAATGTATTTAGTCCCTTATGTAACGGGACCATAACAACACACAAATTGAGTAAACACGGATATCCCGTTGTGACGAGCAAGTTTGAGGAAGTTTATTAACAGCATAGTAAATAATCACGAGCGTTAATTAGGCATACGTATTAAATGCAGAGTAATAAGAATCCATGTCAAATTATATACAGTAGTGAGACTACATGGGAAACATATGTTTCCCATGGCCATGAAATCTGAGGAATTGACAGGAGTACCTTGAAAACGGAGTCGTGTTGTCTATTTACAACCTTATATGTGTCGAATGACAGGTAGGGAAAAAAATAGCTGAAGAATGATTTCCTTTCACGAAAACAGATGAGTCAACATTTAATTTAGACAGGGTGGAGCAGTTATCTCTGCACAAAGACATAAAATAAAGCAAACTATAGCTGTAAAATAAGTATTATGATGCTTTTATACATGCAAAATATACACATACGGAGATGAATAGTGGAGAATATACGACTAGATCCAGAAGCTTTCATATCGGCAACAGTTCCACACAACTTGTATTTGGCGGAAGAAAAGTCGTTTTATTAGATAGCAATCATGCGTCCCAAACCTACCTCTAATGACAAGTTATACATTCCACCTAAGAAGAAAAGTGGAATATTTGCCCAAGAATTACTTTAAGTTTTCAAAATCGCAAAGCGAAAGGATGTCCTTCGATCCATAGCAAGAACTATGTTGCTGTTACGTAAATAACACATTTTTGATCATGAATAGGAAAATGAAGCAAGAGACATCCTTGCAAAATTTCATAATGTGTGTTCTGAAATATATTTTGCTTTCGAAAGAGGAAGAGACCGTGGTATTTCGTCAAATAGTTAGTATACTCATATCTGAGTCTCGCACCCTTGGAAGATGAGTGCGGTCTAGCAAGCTGTTTGGTCCACACAGCAACACCAATCTGCCCTGATGAATATTTTGCTAGAAGGCTCAATATTTTTAAGCACTTGCTGAGTGAAAATGGGCACCGAGAGAAAATCATCATCAAGAATATGGATCTAAAACGAAGGTTATCCCAAATACTCTAAGTTACGAAAAAGCCTTGTTCCTACAGGTTCACTTCCCTGGTGATATCATCAGTGAAATAATAACACCACGTCTAAGGAATATGACATAAAGAGTATTCAGTGCCACCAAAGTTTGTCCCTTCGATGAGTATCCATCAATCGGAACGCTCCTGTTACACAGTTCACAAAGTGAGACACACTTTTTGCCCGATTTCAAAACATCATCTTGTGTTGCCCAGTCCTGTGGATACAAAGTGAGAAGTCGATAGTAGCAAGGCTTTCAAATTTTTCTACTATATTCAAAATAATCGTAATTTCGCGTTAGGATTTCGTCTAATAAATACTCCTAAGGTCATTGGAATCCACACTGAGAAGCCTAACTTGTGTGTTTGTAACGGTATACATTTCTTAAAAATTAGTAGCTTACAGCATTCGTCACTCAACAGTGAATGCTGACCCTTACCGTTTAAGTCGGCCTGCTTAGGAATTGTCTCGCAGCCTAACACCAACGCTGTTTGGCACGCCATCGTTGTACGTTCGGTTGTTTGCGCACGATCCCTGGCTGGTTACACAACTAACCTCACACTACGACTTTGGTCCCGAAATATATTTCGTATTATGGACGATCAATTCAATGTTTTTCTTTGTCTTCGGTCTTCGTGGGATGATACTATAGGAATTGAGGGATTTTAGATATGATATCACCTTGACATGATTATGAGCAATAAATTGTGCTCGAAACGTCATCAATCAACATTACTGTATAACACTGTGAGACTTTATCAAAACGAAAATTTACCCGTAATGGAGAGCAGATGTAGTTGCATTTGGACAAAGAAATACACCGACGAGTGTTTCACGACTTATGACCAGATACATTTGCGTTATCAGCAGTAGGAATTGATTCTGCATACAACGAAAAATGAAAGTAAGTTCACTCATTCACATATAACCACGCAGATATTCATTTTTCCAGTTTGTGATACCGAAAAACTCTGGATGCGGGTATACTATTCCGTTTGCCTGAACTGATAACGAATTTAAACGCGACGCAATCCGTATGCTGGACATTTCCCGTAGAATAATAAGAGATACTTCCCAAGCAAAATCCTTCATCTTGGACTGCGCTAAGCCTGTACATACATGTCAATAAACTTGTTTGCACTAAAGTGAAATAGAACTTTTTATCAAATATTCTTGTGTTCTTTTTGCTCTACATGTGTTAGGTGTAAGGCATGCTAGATCGGTACTCTCTAGGATATGAACTCACTACTATACGTAAGTGTAATTCTCTACGAACACTATCGGTGGATATAAGTGGTGAGTTATAAGTACTTCAGTCAAGCCTACACATCTGCCTAAAGTTACACGATTATGTCTTCTAGCCATGAGTGAATCTGTAGGGACCAATTACAAAATAACCAAACTTCCGTATTTGAAAACTAAGAATAAAACTTAGGCCCTGCGGTAGAGTTCGATTTCGTATAAGAATAAGTGTATTCAAAAGTAGTGCATTACTGTTATTTCACTTAAAGCATGATGTCAATCCACATGATAATGGGTGTCGACACATAATGCAAGATGAAGTCTATGCGAGACGAATAATTGTAGACTGAGCTGCAGCAATCGCAGCAATATATCGCTTACACTGAATTACACCACCAATTACTTTCCCGAGGTCTCAATGACAGATCAAACCCCCATCTCATCATGATGACAAATTTACTTTAACTCAAAGATAATAAGAAAACTACAGTAAGCAGGATGTTAAATATATATAATGAAAAATAATATTAAGCCAATATCTGTACGCAACTGTTTGTCGGAACTGTTTAGGCGCTGTTGAAATGCTGGGAACAAGTTGACTGACGTTACCTGACATCTGCAAATAAGTGAATAAAGTTTATTTTTGGATTCGTTGCTGTTAGAAAGAAGTAATATAAAAGTCAAACGCTTCACATTTGCCCACCCTTGCTGAAAACGGTTCATTCTCCCTCCTCATTCTTTGGTCATGACAGCATTTTTCTGTGGTTTTCATTTTCCCTCTTGTCAAGTGTAGCACTAACCAAATGGCGCGTTGATGTTTTGATATAATTCTGAGCTTTGGAAGAAGGTTCACACATCGTTGCCCTTGTTGACATTTGTCACTAGTTCACTTCAGAAAGGCGTTTTTCACAGATACATTTGCGTTTTAATATAGGTTTATATTTACACGCATTTAAGAATTACAATGTTAGCTAAATAATTGGTCCTTTTATTACCTTCTGTTTGTAATCTATGGTGACAATGCTTAAATTAGCTGGCAATCTTAGGCACTTAGCTTTTTGTCATTCAGAATCTTTTGCGTGCATACATAACCCTCACTACAAACAACACATAAGAACTGTCATTGACAGTCCTGTAATATTATGTTCATAATTATATTTACGTTTCCTATATTACCATTCTTGATTAATCGTAATTATTCGTCCGAGATATCAAGACACTTTTACTCATTTACACAAATAAAATACAAAAAATCTCTCTCTTCGACTGCACAGGCCTAAAACTAATTAAATATACTCCATTTTTACAAACGTGTACCTCTCTGTAGGCATGAGCACGATAACCCATACAATGCGCGAAAATACGCCGCGATATCCTTTATCCCCACCCAGCAGGAAACGGAACGAAGCTTGGGTTGGCGCTCAACTTTGATGTGGGCCTTAGTTAAGGGTTTACAATGTAACATTTATAGGAACCTGTACTGATTGCTTGTACAATTATCGATCAATTTAAGCTTTTGAAAAAGTGTTAATTTATGATTCTTCACTATTGTAATTAATAACATAGCTGGCCGTGTCTGTAA